TTTTATTTTCCTTACTACAGATGTATGTCAGTTTCTTTTAAAGATGGCGCTGTGTAGGATATATGTGTGAAAAACAAAATAACAAACATTCAGCGATTGCGCAGTTTTTAAGAGGATCATATTATCTGAGAGGAAAAACATTTCAGAACTTACCAGTTTATAATGTTCACTGAGGATACAATACAATCTGGATTTCAATATTTTAATTAATATTAATATATTTTTGTTTATAATATGTGTCCTAGTTCTGAAAATATGTTCAAACTTTATCATAGATAAAAAGAAAAATTTAGACAAGTATTATGTTAAACCAACATCTAAAGGAAATACGTTAGACGTTATATTGCATGACTGTCTAAAGATGGTAAGCCTTTTATTTTCGTAACTGTTGAAAACCACACGTTAGGTGGCGTAACAGACGTGTTAAGCTCAGGAAAACTGTGTGTTAAAGAAAGAAAGGGCGAAACGTCGAGAAAAATTAATTTGTTGAGTTCTGGGGAATTGCGTGTCAAGTATTTATTAAACCAGGTATGTTTTTATTTGTAATAAAGTACTCTCATCTTCCCAATAAAGCTACTTATGGACCTACACTAATAAGAGTACAAAAATGTTTCTGTTTCTTTTAATGTCACAGAAATGTGTTGCAAAAAAAAAACAACAACATTAAACTGGAAATAGCATTCTAACTCAACAAATTTAAGTTTGACTTCAACCCTGCGAAGATAATGCTCGAAATTTTGCTATTTCCGTTCCCAATGTTTCCCAATGGGCCAGCAGAAAATTTACGGTTTCAAAAGACAAAATCCAGGGTTCTATTCCCGTGGTGGACAGAGCATAGATAGCCTATTGTGTAGCTTTCGCTAAAACACCACCACCATTTTCTCTCCTCTTCTACTCTGTTCACGTGCCAATGATCGCGAATATAAAATAATTTGTTTCTTTTTCTAAACATTATCGTCTCTTATTTTTTAGCCGCGGCATAGCGGCTCATAGAATGGCTCTGAGTTTTTTGTTTTTTTTAAATACAAACTTTTATACTCGCAGCTCCATCTCTTGACCGATTTGAGATCTAATTACAGCCGCGGCTATTGAGGATTCCCTCTTGTTATTATAAGGGAGTCAACCCTCTGTTCAAATATACACTCAACCCTAGCATAAAAAAAGTTTCAATTAGTAAGCTTGACAGCCATCTTCACCGACCTTCCACTCCATGGAAATTTCAGTATGTTTTGGTTTTTGTTCAGATAATGCGTAAATGGAAAGTTTGAGTCAAATAATCAGATTTCGAATAATAAAATATCATTAAATGCATTACCCTTTCATTACCAATAAAGAAATTAATATTTCTGTTCAAATCTTAGCAGAAATTAACAGAACGTGTTTGTAAGTTCTTAGTAAAAAACATAAGCACTAGAGCATACATTGAGAATGATCGCCACTACATAATAATAATCATCCATAACACTTCCTTGGCATTATTGCTTGCTCTATTATAAGTGCTTTATGTCTAGCTGATGCTATCTTTAGGTCCTATTGTTACTCCATTTTATTCCTTGACATTAATTTCACGCTAATGCAAGTAATTTATGTTCTCTTGTCATTATTTTATTGACCTATTATAGCTCTATTTATGTCATTTCTAGTCCTATTATATCATTTTTGGTCCTGTTATATCTTTATGTATATCATTTTCGGGCCTATTATATCTCCATTTATATCCTACTAGCGAAAGTACCAGACTTCGCTCGGGTTATTATGTCGATATATTCTAGATGTCTATGTCAATGTGTGTATTGTTAACCCATTTTATCATAAAAGTATAACCTATGCAATTTTGTTGCTACGCGACATGACATAAAATCCATTGTTGGAACACATTGTTACCAAAACGCACTGGCTTTTCTATACATTAGAAGTTGTTATATAAGAAACCACTTATTTTCTATGTGGTTTTTCGCTAGCTTGCCTCATTAACAAGATGCGCAAGCGCGCACGCACGTGGATAAGATAAGTAATAATACCCAGGTGCACACCCTCAGGGTTCACTTAGTATGGATACAAAATATCAGGTTTCTAAGTTCTTTCCTCTTGGCGCTATGGTGGTGACATATTCTTTTCTAAGTGGTATTTCGCTAATTATAGTATTTTGGCACTTGTGTCAGGGGCACATCCTCAGGGCTCACTTAATATGTGTGCAAAATTTCAGGTTTGTAGGTTCATTCCTTTTAGAGTTATGGTGGGCACACAAACACGCTCTTATATTATTATAGATTATAGCTCCATTTATATAAATTTTGGTCCTTTATAGCTCTATTTACATCATTTTTGGTCATATTATAGCTCCATTTATATAATTTTTTTGTTTTGTTTTTGTTATTAAGCACAATGCTTCATTATTTTTTTGTTTACGCTATTGTGATAGTTTTGAGTAATTCTCCAATAGATTTGTCTGTTTGTTTGAAGTTAAGCACAAAGCTACACAATGGCTATCTGTTCTCTGCCCACCACTGACATCGAAACCCGGTTTCTAGTCTGCAGACATAATAGTGTGCCACTGGGAGGGTGGCATAATTTTTGTCCTATTATAGCTCTATTTATATAATGTTTGATCATATTATAGCTCCATTTATATAATCTTTGGTCATAGTATAGCTATATTTATATAATGTTTGGTCATATTATAGCTATATTTATATAATGTTTGGTCATATTATAGCTATACTTATATAATGTTTGGTAATATTATAGCTATATTTATATAATGTTTGGTCATATTATAGCTATATTTATATAATGTTTGGTCATATTATAGCTATATTTATATAATGTTTGGTCATATTATAGCTATATTTATATAATGTTTGGTCATATTATAGCTTCATTTTATTCCTTGACTGTCACTTTTATAATTCGCCACCATATGTAGGTAAAGAACATTATATCTCGTACCACGGACCCTTCAATCCGGAACCCCATCCGCTTCCCACTAGGCTACAACTGGTCATACTTCAGAGGATAATTTTGTTTTCTTGGTCATATGCTGAGGTTATGTTGGACTAAAGGGCTTCCAACAGCAACTTATATCAGATAATCCACATGTTGACCAACTGAGAACTAAAGCTTCAAACACTATCAAGTCTTATAAACCCATTACAGACAACGATAGAGTCATCCCAGTAAAGTTAATTCCAAACAAACAAATACACCAATCTGAGTGTTTTTTTTCAAGATAAGGAGAAACAAGATATATGATTTAATACACCAGATCTTACTTTAACTCTGTCAAACTTTAAACTGATTCTTTGTTTAACTTCCAAATTCTAACAACCACGTGATATTCTTCAGTGGTTGTTTCTCAGTATATGTTATGTTGCTGGCGTATAGAAAAGTACCAGTTGATGTAAACAGGATTAATGTACGTAAGGAAGTAAAGATATTGTAAAGAAATAACATGCTTCCGAACTCTCTCAAACGGATTTTCCATTTTACAACCTTGCATTTGAAAAGTGTTTGCGAAAAGTGTAAATCCAATAGATATTTCATTGTTTTCGATTTTTCTCCCACCAGTAGTTTGATATTTCATTTCAGCTGCGATGTTAAAGAACAGCACTTTCAAGTTTCAAAAATATCTCATTCAGAGTCTCTCGCACGTATAGAAAATAAATAAATAAAATTCTAACTGTAATATCAGCTATCTTCCAAATTGGCCAGCTTAGTATTTTAGCAAAGCATAGACTCCACACCCATATGTTACTTGAAAAGAAATTACATTTCGCTATATATATTACCAATTTCGAAATATTTTTATATTTTTTTCACATACGTGGTGTAATAATTTCAAACTTATCGAGTTGTGAGTAATGTAAAGTAGGTACAGCAGGTCACATAAAAACTCTTAATGAAAGAATGCTGGTCGCTGTATTAAAAATAATAATGAATAAAAAGAATTTTTTTTAATATATGCGCTATTTTAATTTTAAAACGCCTGTGTAAAGATAAGTACAATAGTTTTCTAGAATATTGGCTGCTGCATATATTAATTTTAACTAAACATATTATTATACTCCAAATATGTTCAATGGATTTCGTGCATTGCTAATCAAGGTCTGTATGCGATAGCCGTCTCTTATTTTGAAGTGACAGGCTAACGGGAAGAAATATAATCATACACTACCCACCGCCAATTCTCGGTCTACTCATGTTAGACCGAATAGTGCAATTGTCACTCTCATAACGCACCCACTGCCCCAAAGTGAGAAGCGTTTTTTTTTTTTGTTTTTGTTTTTTGCAGTAGCGGGAAACGAACCACGAAACGTCAGTTCCACAGTACAGCACACAAACCACTAAGTCGCACTCGGCTCTATATAATACGGCCCGGTATGGTCAGGTGGTTAGGGCGCTCGACTCGCAATCTGCGGGTCACGGATTCGAATTCCTGTCGCACCAAACATGCTCGCTCTTTCAGCCGTGGGGGCGTTATAATGTGACTGTCAATCCCACTATTCGTTGGTGAAAGAGTAGCCCAAGAGTTGGCGGTGGGTGGTGATGACTAGCTGCCTTCCCTCTAGTCTTACACTGCTAAATTAGGGACGGCTAGCGTAGATAGCCCTCCTGTATTTTTGCGCGAAATTCACAACAAACAAACAAACATCTATATAATATATAAAGCTGCTGAAATACTTAACCAAACAATTTTATGCTCTAATGATTTTGTTTCCAAGAATACACTTAAAACTGGTTAAATATTTACATTAAATCACTTGAATTGAAGTATCCACACACATGTATCTTTCGTAATTGAACTTGCCAATAAGTTAGATGTTATATTGAGTATTTTTCGCCTCATCAGATGAATATTGGTAACTATTAGTTTATAACGTGTACATAAAAAACAATACAACTTTCACAATGGGGATAATACATAATTTTATTTTGATATAAGCAGGTTACAATTTACTCTTTAGGATACAGTGCAATTTTTTATACAATTGATCTTACCCTTTGGTTTTTTCATCATAATTATATTGATGTAAATAACTAACCCACTTTTACAAACAAAGAACAGTATACGCGCAGGTGTGTGGAAAGCGTTTGATTTGTATTACAAAGATCTGGTATCATTCGATTCAAGTCACCAAAATCTAACTTATAACACATCAAAATATTTTAAACTGATCTATTGAAAAAAAAAAACTAAATATTTCTTCGAACAATCAACCAATTGGAATGCAGTAGCTTTTTTTCTTTTCGTTTTGTTAGTTAATCAATCAGTCTGCGCAAGTTTCGTGTAGATAAATACAATGGAAATGTTAATTCTCAAAGAAGTAAAAAGAGACGATTCCGGTGTTCTGTTAGTAAAGAATTTCAAACATTTTCACACTGTGCCTTTCCTTTTACCTGATATTTAGAAGTGGTAGATGGTACTCGTGAAAAAGTAGTCATCCGTAGTTGTTCCTCAACAGAATGATCTACGCCAGATGTTCCATCCTTTTCGCGAATATTTCTTTTTCGTTTGATCTGGTTGAAGATTTTGATCGGAAGAGACTCTTCAGATTCTTCTCCCTCATTGCGCCTGCAACGGATTACAAAGTTGAATATTAAAAAAACCAAAGGATTTGTCGACGAATTAGAAACGGCCAATGCAGCGAGAACTGAATATGTCATGGCATCGATATTTGATTCTTGTCCATAAACCCTCCACATCTCTATGATGCAATATGGTGAACTGCACACAAGAAAGGAGGTAATGATTGCAAAGGTTGTCTTCAGCGTTTTGGATTTAGCCCTTGGAAAATGTGACATCGGAGTCTGACGAAGAATGAACTTTTGACACCTGTCAACTTCTTGATCAGAATTTTGGTTCTCACTTGCCTTCTGGGAAACCTTCTGGAATATTCGCACATAGCACACGCTAATGAGGATAAGAGGTAATCCAAATACTACCATAACCATGATCGTCAAGTAAAGCCTCAGGAAAACTAAAGGAGCATCGTGCAGTATGTTGCGGCACACAATCTGGTCTTGGTACTCCATCTGGCGGAAAAGCACTAAACTTGAAGCGTTAACAATGCCTGCCAATGCCCAACTTGCAATGATTAGTGAAGACGTCTGAAAAACAAAAACACACAGGCTTAAAAGCGAAACAAAAAATTTCATGGGGGTATGAAATCAAAAAACCAGAAAACAGCTATGCTAGAAAAATATATTAATCAAAAATCATTTTAGAGGCATTAACAAATAGACGATTTCAGAAGTTTGTTATTTCACCAATGTAAAAAACACCCACAGAGCGAACTTTGACGTTGCTATCATAAGCATCGTTTTCAAACGTCATAGGCAAAAATTTGAAAGAAAAGTTAATTTATTTACTTCAGACTGACGAAGAAGTGGACAACCATTTGTATTTTGGATAAAGTGAAACATGCAGTCAGGTTGAAACCGAATAACTATTAACAATGCTAAGACTATTATCGTTATGATTATAAATTAGTACAAAAACCTATGCACTCTATGCTTAGTCTATAATACATCGATAATTTTCAGATTTTGCTGCAGCCTTGTCTAAATTCACTTCTTTCATTTTGATCCCACAGGATTTCATTCCTCGCGATCAATAGTGTAGATAGCCCATTATGTGGCCTTGTGCTTAAACAGACAAAATCTTGCCCTCCTGTGACTCAGCGATAAATCTAAAGGCTTATAATGCTAAAAAAAGCTGATTTGAATACCCGCGATTGGCTGAGCACAGACATCAAATTGCGTAGCCTGGTGCTGAATGACAAACAAACAAACAAGAAAACTTTCACTTTGAATGTAGATTTTATAAACACACCAGCACTACAAACAAGATGATTCAGGTCCTGTGATGCCTATGATTAGATATTATTGCCCTACACTGCCACTTCCATAGCAGTAGGCCTCGATAGATCTTTATTAGTTTTCCACGGTCTTTCCATTTTACGTAGAGTTTGGCTGTCAAAACCCCGTTTTAATCAAACCAAATGAACTGTAGCAGTAAATGTAGTGATCAAATCAAATTGCTGTGATTCCAGTTTCTTCTGCCATTTGTTTAATGAACACAGCCGCTAATTTCGAAGTACGACTTAAAACTTGTGAGCTTCTGGCTTATTAGTTTTCATGAATTTCAAAATTCCTGTTTAATATATTGCTGCCCCCACTGGCACAGCGGTATGTCGGCGGACTTACAATGCTAGAAACCGGGTTTCGATACCCGTGATGGGTAGAGCACAGATAGTCCATTGTGTAGCTTTGTGCTTAACTTCAAACAAACAAAAAATATATATATTGCTAACGATACCAGGATTTATGCCCAACTTTATCGCATTGCTTTTTGGGTAAGAGGGTTCTCTTTCGTAACTAGAGTTTTTACTTTGTTGATGAATGCGCTGCTCTAGATTGGTTTTGAATGTAGCTTTGGAATTCCTTGCTGCTCTAAATGTCCTGCTTTGCGAGTTTCTTGGCTTTCACGGAGAGCATTGCTAGACTACATTCTTTGAAATATTCTGTCTTTTGACCGTACTTTGTTTAACAATCTCTTTCTTTGTACATTATCTTGAAAAAGGCTTTAAATCACAAATATAGTTAATCGCAGTTTATAAGAACAATTTGTACATGGTAATACAGGTTTAAGCAATGAAGCCAAGGGCGACATGTTTGGTACGTACATATTTGGTCCTTGGCTGATTATCGATCATGAATACTTAAATCTGAAGGAATATGAATATATATCTATATATTAAAATTATTGCTTATATTTGTAATCCAAGACTGCAAAGAAATGAGCATATACTTAGATATGTACATTTATTTTCAACTACAGGTATTTATCCTTGTTGGAGTTCATTGCAATTATTAATTAAGTTCTCTGATTGGAATCTGAGAAGCCATTATCCTGTTACACTGGCATTTCTTTACTTGCAACTTGGAATTTTGCAAATACCACACAAAGACACGAAACTTCACAACAGATGATTCTATCATATACATTCACGTCAACTTGTAGAGTTTATTTCTTTGTGGAATTCCGCTCGAAGCTACTCAAGGGCTACACTAATCAGATAGTGGGATTGACCGTCACATTATAACTTTCTCACAGCTGAAAAGGCAGTATTGCTCTGTAATGGGATTCGAACCGCAACCCGCATATTGCGAGTTTAATGCCCTAACCATCAGGCCATGTCAGGCTTAATGTTTAGAGAGATTTGTTTAACCGCCATGCCAGATAATATTCTTCATCACACAAGAGATAATTTGAATAAAATAAAACAGTAGGTGAAAATGCCTTTATTGCATTCGTTTTCCTTCTAAACAAGTAAAATTATAATTTGTTAGATCAAAATCTACATCGGAAACCTTCTGATTTAGAATATTCTAATTTGACATTGGTAATGTAAGTGTTTGTATTTATAGCAAAGCTACTATGGCTATCTGTCGCCGTCCCTTATTCTGAACTACTTTTCAGAGATCATGCTGCCAGCCAGCAGTACTTGATCACTCACCATCCATCCATGCTAAGGGATTGGCTGTTATCCTTTTACGCACCCACAAGTTAAAGTAGGGGGTTAAAATTACTTAGTTACGGGTTAGATAGATTTAATATATATAACGTTAAATTCCTTAAATAGTAATAACTATATTAACCAAATGTGATAAACACGGTAAATAAAGCTTATCGTGTGACGATTCTACTTTGGTGATTACTAATTCACTAAACAGGCTTAACGTTGTCATGTGTTTTTGGGATAAGGGCCGAAAACACCGCTAACATCGAAGATAACCTAAGTTAGAGTCGCTATAGAGAATTTATGTGTGTGTGATTTTCCTGTCACTCATAACTAAGACTAACTATGATTAGTTGTAGATGTTATTACGTCATTGTAGCACCACAAGCATGCACGATGACCTTGTAGTAAGATAACAGATAATGAGCACTATCAGTAAATAGTTAATCCATCAGGTATTTTCTGTTTTCGTATCAATAGTACAACAAATCTTGAAAGATCTGACATTTGCTCGTTGCCACAGCATGGTCAAAGTAGCTAATATTAGTGTGTACAATAAATCTATTCGTTTCTAATATTTTGCAATACTATATGACAATGCTGCGCACCATACTTAATTCAATCAGACAATGCTGCGCACCATACTTAATTCAATCAGACAATGCTGCGCACCATACTTAATTCAACCAACAACGAATTTGGAGAATAGAAAAACAACTGTAGGTTCTGGTATTCGCCTATATCAAAATGTTCATCTGCACGACGTTACCAAATAAACATAGAACTATGTATATGTTTGTTTGTTTTTGTTTGTTACGGATTTTGCGCAAAGCTACACTAGGGCTATCTGCGCTAGCCGTCCCTAATTTAGCAGTGTAAGACTAGAGGGAAGACATCACCACCCACTGCCAACTCTTGGGCTACTCTTTTACCAACGAATAGTGGGATTGACCGTCACATTATAACACCTCCATGGCTGAAAGGGCGAGCATGTTTGGTGTGACCCTGAGATTGCGAGTCGAGTGCCGTAACCACCTGGCCATGCCGGGCTATGTATATGTAAGGGACTGTTTCCAAAAATGGAAAGAGGTGAGAGGGGCCACTGCGTTTCATTCAAGACATGAGCGATATCTCATAAAATCGAAAAGATAGGAGGTTCTTATTTCATATTCTAGCTTGTCAATATCGGTAAGTTGAGTTTCTAATTCGTACAGAACTATAGAATTTGTATTTTGACATCATAAACATTTAATTTGAACCCGTGCTGCATTCAACATATCACGTGACATACAAAAATTGATGTTTAGGTATTTTTTTTAATAGTTATTTTAAATTAAGAAATTAAATAATATATAATACTAACATTTGAATCATAATCTACAATTTAATACCAAACTTATTGACATAAATACATAAAATAGTAGTTCAATAAAAGTTTGAATGCGAGTCAACAAACG